AAAATACTAATGCTCTGATGGTCATTTCGAAAAATCCTTTCTTAGCAAGCACCTAGAAGCCAAGAGGAACATACATGCCGAATTTCAAGTTTGTAGGCTTTACAGTTGTGGAGTTTTTGTGATGCTGCGTGAGTGGTATTTTGCTTTTAGATATATAGATGACACATGCAGTGGTGGGATTCAAATAATTTAACAACTGGTTCTCTGCCCTAATGACTGGCTGGGTATATGTGGATGGGTGGTCATGTGACTGGGTGGGCGTGGCCAATGCAACATCACTCACATCAAGGGGCATCTCGCCCAGCCTTTCCTTGCCATTCCTGGCCATTCTTGGCCCCTTCCCTCCCACCCACTCCTTGTTACACCTGGCCTCGCCTGGCCTCACCTGGTCTCACCTCCCGGCCACTCACTCACCTGGCTTCCCTCCCTGGCCTCATTTCCTGGCCTCTCACCTCACCTCCTGTCTGCTTGCCCACCTGGCCAGGAGGTCGTTTGCTTGCCTGACTGGGCGGGCATTCTGTTATTAATCAACCGTGAAGCAAAAGGAATCATGATAAGTCTAACTTTGTGATCCTAGTCAATTGCCAGTTTATCTGACTGCTTTACAAGCATAGATTTATGTATCAGTTGCCCCACATCTTACAAACTCTTGTTTATCACTGACCTACAGTTCTTCAACATATATGCATTTTTTGTTACAGTGCAATGCCATCTGCTAATCATATCAATTATACTTACATGTTTATAGCCAGATAAACTATTCTGTGTCCTACTTATTTTAGCAGTGAAATTTTCTATCCCCCAAATTCTTTCATCTATTGATCCCCCCACTTTGATGTACTGAGACTTTGGGGTTTGCATATCATAGGTTGCCAACCCTAAGCAGAAGTTGATGAATCTCTGGGACAAATCTAAAAACTACTTTTCATATTTGTTACATTATATTTGTCCCTGAAACAATTTTATGCAAAACTTTTATGTAAAATGGAATTGCTTGAGAAACGTTTGACTCCAAGTCACTTGGGTTTAAATCTGATTTAAACCAACCTAATCCACCTCCATGAGTCAGGTATCAAAGATCTACACATCTTTCTTTAGTTGTAGCAACCATATCCCATTACTACAATCTATTAAAACTATAAAGGTAGTCCTCAACTTACAACCACAATTAGGATCAGAACTTCTGTGTTGCTAAGGGAGGCAGTCATTAAATGAATTGTACCCAATTTTATGACCTATTTTGCCACAATTGTTAAGCATACTGCCATGGTTGTTAAGTGAATCCAGTTTCCTACATTAACTTTGCTTGTGGGAAGCCAGTTGAAGAGGTCGCAAATGGCAATCATTTGACCCCAGGACACTGCAACCCTCATAAATACATGCCGGTTGTCAAGTGCCTGAATTTTGAGCACACGACTGCAGGGATTCTGCAGTGGTCATAAGTGCAAAGACCAATCTTGAATCACTTTTTTCAGCACCACTATAACTTTGAACAGTTGCCAAGCAAATGGTTATAAGTCCAGGACTATCTGTATTTACATAAAGTGCTTGAGCAACCCCCATTCCCAGCCATTCTGCAAGCATATTTTCTCACTCATGTACCTTTTAGGTCATAGATCTAAAACTTGAGAAATACTTCTTTTTCTTCCCTTGAGGATAACTTTTGCACCTGCCTGTTTATAGTTATTTAATCCCTATTGCACCATCCAATTTCTTAGAATAATATTCACACTACTAAGAACTCATAACTGCATAAAAAGGAGAATTTTTTTTTTTCTTTTCATACATTTTGTAGATATGGGAGCACCTTGGATATAAAGTCAACTTTTATAACCCTCTATTGCCCGATGAGCACATTGATTAACAAAATTAATAAGGGTTTATTAAGGGTTTATATTGACTGTTTCCTAGTATGATTTGATTGCTTATTGTATCCTAAGTGTTGTACCTTATCATTCTTGACTCTTGACGAATGTATCTTTTCTTTTATGTACATTGAGAGCATTGACACCAAGACAAATTCCTTGTGTGACCAATCACACTTGGCCAAAAAAGAATTCTATTCTATTCTATTCTATTAATAAATATAATGGATTTCAAGAACTATTTCCAGTTATGAACTATTATCAGCTTGATTAAGAAAAGTGCTATGAATTGCAAACATCATACATACAGAGTACATTATATAAATTTAGCATTTTCACATCAGCTGTATTTTCCAAAGATATAATGCCAGTTGTAAAGATTCTTTCATTGAGCGACTTCATTTGAGAAATGATTCCATACCACAAATACACCTCTGTTTTTTGAATCTACAGTTAACTGAAATACAAAGATTATTGTAAATTTTGCATGTTGTGTTTTTGATTTGATAAATTGCTAGAATAATAACAAACAAGGCAGAGCAGCTAATTGTTGTAAGAAAAATAAGATAAATGCACATTAGTGCTCCTTCTTCATTTGTTTTTCTGCTTTTGAAATATTACTTCTAGCAACAACCACTTTTGTAATATCATTTCTTGGTTTTTCTCTTCATTTTCATATCCCAATTTTCTCTGTATATTTTTATTTCTGTTCTTGTTAAAATAAAATAGTTTTAATTCCTATTATTGGAAGAGATATCACCTTCCTCATAACTAAATACCTATTGATTACTTATCTGGAAGAAAACTGTATTACCATAAAATGTCCTCTCCCACAGGGAATCCTTTCTTCTGACACTAGCCAGGTGGGCAAACAGCCTTCCGGCCAGAAGAGGCAAGGCAGTGCCAGGTGGGGCAAGGCCGGTTCGCCGAACTCCACAAAAAATTAACTACTAGTACTCCTGAACCAATGCAAACCAGCTGAATCCCACCACTAGACAGATGTGGGACAGACACCACTATATAGGTAACATTCCCTGTCTCTAAGACCTAATGCTGAGGTCTCTATTGAATACACAGATATATTCTGAGGCTATAGGTAGAACCTATGACTGCTCCAAATATCTTTAATATTACTGATTTGTATTTATCCCTCCTTCTTGATGCATTGGACAGATGCCCCATTTCTACCTAATAAATACAAGCCCAGTAACAGGAAACACAAGCAGTTAAAAAGCCATTATTCAAATGAAATGCAAAGTTTGTCTAGGCTGCTCTTTATTCTCCAATCCAGTGTTTCCCAATCTTGACCACTTGAAGATGTGTGGACTTCATCTCCCAGAATTCACTAGCTAGTTTGAAGTTCATACATTTTCACGCTGCCAAGGTTGAGAAATACAGCTCTAATCTGCCCAGGCAACAAATCTTAATAAAACTGGCTGCTGAAGGATCCCTAAAAGAAGAGAGCAAAGCATGATATAGAACACAGATACATATATATTTGCATGCGTACATGAATAGGTAGATATTCATAGTGACTGTAATTTAAATAGCAACATACCGTATTTCATTACTGAAGAAAAAAACGGACTAGGCAATCTCTGTTTCAGCCCAGCCTGTTATCTGTATTGTAGGTATTTCCACATCAGACATTAATTATACCTCTGGATCTAGAAATGTGATGTTGTTTTTTGTGAGTGGCAGTAAACTGATTGTTTTAATTGTTTTGTTTAATTCTGCAGAGGCAGCATTTGCAGTATTCAACAATCTCAGAGCAGATCTGAACTTAGCAATGTGGCAAGGAAGGGCCTGCTTTGGGGAGTGGTTAGGCAAGGAGGAAGGCTAACCTTTCTCCAGCTCAGAGAGAAAAGTACGTACTGCTTTCTCTCAGAAACCACCTCTTTTCCACAAACGAGGTTTAACTATTTCTTTCTGGTGCTGGTTCTCTATTCATTTTTGGCCAACTACCTTGACATCTTGCAACTGTCTGATGGAATAAAAGCCAGAGCCTCCACAAAAAAGGAAGGAAAACATAAATTGTCCTTAAGTCAGATCTGACTCGTAATTGCATTTTCCTGTGGTACAATGGGATAGAAATATTTTCCCGTCTCTTGTACCTTGTTTTCCCTCCCCTCATTCAATTTGGATTAAGTCCCAAGAAATCTCCTGTTTAAAATTTAGTCAGAACCAGTCCCTTAGACAGGAATAAATGCAAACCCAACGAATACATAGATGGGGTGTGTTTGTGATGGTAGGAGGGCATTGTTTGGTTTCTACAAATGCCTGCTAAATTCGTATCTATTTATGTATGCTACCCAGAGTCGCTTTAGACAGCAAGATGAGTGGCATATAAATAATACTTTTTTAAAAACCATATTTTGGGAGAGGAATGGAGGTAAGAGCCTACATTTATTGCAGCCAGACCTAGCTTACCATTGCACAAAGTGGTACGATATTTCTTTGGAACTGGTGCTGCCAAAACCATCATCTATACTTGGAATATTAAGGAGACAGTGTGTAGTGACTGGGTTTTGCTTCTTAGTACGTCACAGTGCTGCTCTTTGGAGTTATTACAACCTAAGATGGATCCCTCCAAAATCCCTCAAAAAATAAATCAGCCATCACCCAAGATGTAGTCTTTCTTCAAATCTTCTACAAGGCCATCATGCTCAGCTTTAACTGCTGATGGCCTGGCAGCCTTTCCTCAGATTTGGATGACCTTCCTTTGGGGGAATTCTAACCTGTCTCCTTTTGAATTTTAAGCTAGAGTGGGAGTAGCTTCAATCTTTCTTTGAAGATGTGACATTATTGTTGCCTGGATTTAGAAGGGGAACCCTTCTCCGAGCTGAACTCAGCAAGAAAGCAATGGCCAGTCAGTCGCTCAGAAAAAGGGGCAAAAGTGAACCAACTAATTTAAGTTTGTGACTGATTATCTGACAACCTCACTGGGAAACTCCAGGCTGCTAGGCTGCCTCTCCTGTTCTGACACTCCACCCACCCCCGAGGACCTGATGCTGAAAGAGTCAGTCTTAGGAGTTAGGGATATTTTCCTTCCTTGCTTGGGAGTGTTTCAATTTTGAAAAGTAAAAAAGATATACATAGAAAAGTCAGAAAAAAGAAACAGCGATTGCAACTTACCCGGAAGATTTTGAATTGGGAAGGGAGTAGAGCTTGACCACGTCCTGTATCCTGCTGCTTTCCTGCTTCTGGCAGGCTGTGATGAACTTTTCCTCCGATGTGAGGTTTCCCCGCAGTATCAAAACCTGAAGCGCCTTCTGGAAAGGTGTGTTTAGTTTCTCTGCCCTGAGCAAATCCCAGTTTTTCTCTGATTGTGCCTAACCTGAGAGGAGCTCACACCTCCTTTCTGATCATCCTCTCCATTTCACAACTGAAAAAGAAGATTTTTTCGCCCTGGTTTAGCCCAAAACTCAGTCCGGCGAAAGTTTGTCTGAGGGAGGTGGTGTGTTGAAAAGCAGACACAAGAGGGAGGGTGTATGTGGGGGGAAACAGAAGACAAGATCTTATTTCCAGCCCCTCTCTTAGCCTCTTGCCCAAAAGCAGCGGTTTGGCAAGATCTGGATGTGGGAGAAGTTAAAAATGTTTCTTATTACTGCCTCTTCCTGCTTGGCTTTTCTCCACCACTCCCAGCTAATAAAGCATTTCCTATTGTGGAGCAGAGATCTATACACATTCTCTCTCTCTCTCTCTCTCTCTCTCTCTCTCTCTCTCTCTCTCTCT